AGAGACAGGTAAAGTTAAGTAATTATAAAAAAAAAAAAAAAAAAAAAAAAAAACATACATCCGGTTGCGAGAACCAATCGAGTTATTGTTCGAATGAATTCAAGATCGAGACTTTTGATTACAATATTGTTTATCACACGTCGCTTATATATATACAGTAGCAAAGAATGTATAAGTTTCGTTTGATATACGAGTGAGCGAAGGTGAGATCCGTCTTAGGAAAAGGAAACTGTCGGCCTTGATTAATTCTCTATAACTTTTCACAATCCGAGTAGCGCAGAAATGTGCGCAAATTTTCGCCAATTCAATTTCGAGAATATCATCAGTTAAGATTGATTATTTCGTAGGAGAGTCCTGCCCAATGTAGAGCCTGGTTATATGAAGCCATTGTTACCCAACGAAGCACCGCAGACACCAGAAAAGTGGCAGGACATTATGGGCGATTTGGAAAAAATAATCATGCCTGGAGTAAGGACCGAGAACGAATTTGGATATAATTGATAATCAATAAAAAATATTAATTAATATTTTTGTTCATTAATTCAGGTTACTCACTGGCACAGTCCCAGATTTCATGCTTACTTTCCAACGGCTCAATCGTATCCTGCAATTGTTGCTGACATGTTGAGCGGAGCAATCGCTTGCATTGGATTCACTTGGGTATTGATTAAAGCTTGTTTGCCTATTAAAATATATACGTGTATATACAGACTAATTATTAACTTAATCGTCAAATAAAATTTTTTATTACAGATCGCAAGTCCAGCCTGCACGGAATTAGAGGTGATAATGTTGGATTGGCTAGGAAAAATGTTGGATCTTCCCAAAGAATTTTTGGCCTGTAGCGGCGGTAAGGGGGGTGGAGTGATTCAGGTGAGTGATTAATCATAATAATAATCTCGAGAGAATTGAGAATAATATAATAAAACGACAAGACTTATTTCAACAGGGAACAGCCAGTGAAGCCACACTGGTAGCATTGTTGGGTGCGAAGGTAAAGAAGATTCAAGAGATCAAAGAACAGCATCCAAGCTGGACCGACAATGATATACTAGGAAAACTCGTTGCCTATGGTTCCTGTAAGTACGCCTGAATATCCCTATAGAGATTTTTCCCATAAGACAAGGCCGAGTTTCACACTGAAATTCAAAGGGACAAAACGAGATGAAAATGACAATTGATAAGCTTCGATTTTTATTTTTATCTTCGATTGATTAATTCGTATCGATTTCACATTTTCCACGTGACTCGTTCTATACAAATCCTTGCAGCCATTAGGTGCCAAAGCCAAAGTAGATACTGGCGGAGCGAGTTATGCTGTAGGATACTATACCTATATATTATAGCATATCAAGCTGAGAGCACTTCATCAAGCAGCACTTTGTCACCATGGCAACGCGTAATAACCTCTCTGGTTACTTGAATACCCCATACCATTTCTCAATGCCCATACACCTCTGTATGTATAGAGAGATTAAAATGAGGGACAATTTTTTTACCATAAAGAAAAAAAGTTTTCAATAGCGACTTCTAACCGTGCCATGAAAATAAAGCATTTTTTCGGGACACTTTTCCGAATCAAAATGCGTCCCGTAACCTTTGGTAGTTTCTCAAGTGTGAAATATGCTTTCAGGCCAGGCACACAGCTCCGTGGAACGCGCCGGACTTCTGGGCGGTGTTAAATTCCATCTGTTGGACGTTGACGGGAAATTCCGAGTACGGGGCGAGACTTTGGCCGAGGCCATTCGCGAGGATAAGGAAAAGGGGTTGATACCATTTTATGTGAGTTTGATCAATTTTAATATAATCATTGGGTTTGGCTTTTTTTAAAATTTTTAATAATTTTTTTTATACTAGGCTGTTGCCACTCTTGGTACAACCTGCTCGTGCGCTTTTGATTGCTTGGACGAGATGGGAATTATAGCCAATCGTGAGGGTGTTTGGCTTCATGTGGATGCGGCTTATGCAGGTATGGAATTTAAAAAAAATTAATTCCTTGCCAGTTTTCAATGGTACTTTCACTGTATTTTGATTTCTATCTAAATTTAGGCTCGGCTTTCATCTGTCCGGAATTTCGTTATTTAATGAAGGGAATCGAGAAAGCCGATTCGTTCAATTTCAACCCGCACAAGTGGATGCTGGTCAATTTCGATTGTTCGGCCATGTGGCTCAAGGATCCCACATACATTGTCAATGCATTTAACGTGGATCCACTTTATCTGAAGCACGACATGCAGGGCTCTGCACCTGACTACAGAGTAAGTTAGAATAAAAATATATAATTTACTCCACAATTTTTTTTTCTCCTACCTTCATTGGTCCATATGATCATAATTTCCCATAATTTTTTTGTCTAGCACTGGCAAATTCCACTGGGTCGCAGATTCCGCGCGCTTAAACTCTGGTTCGTTCTGCGACTTTACGGCGTAGAAAATCTTCAAGCTTACATCAGAAATCATATAGCTCAGGCTCACGAATTCGAATCTATGGTCCAGGCAGACTCCCGATTCGAAATTGTAGCTGAAGTCATCATGGGTCTAGTCTGCTTCCGCCTTAAGGTGAGTGAAAACGAGAAAAATTATAGTAACAAAAAAAATTATCCTGTCAAAATGTCATTTTGAAAAAAATATATATTCTCAGGCATCCAACGACGTTAACGAGGCTCTTCTCAAGAAGATCAATGGCGCTGGATACATTCATCTGGTACCGTCCAAGATAAACGACACTTACTTCCTAAGATTAGCCATTTGCTCTCGATTCAGCGAAAGTAAGGATATTCAAAATTCTTGGCGCGAAATCAAATTGCGCGCCGACGAGGTCCTCGCGGAACAATCGACGTCCAAGTGATGGCGGGCTCAAATAGCACGTGGCTGTAAAGCATTGGCACCAGTTACCTGCAATCAATCATAGATTTTTAATAACAATCAGTAATTAATCACACCTCGGACCTTTCCAGTTATGGTAAAAGGAGATAATGGGATTAGCCAATTTATTAAGACGAACCTACCATACCTGTTTATCGTTATCGTATATTCTTCTGTATATACATATATATATATATGTGCATATAAACGAAATTATTTATTTGAATGAAGAATCGTGACGTCACGATCAATAAACTTTAGTCGCGTATCGACCAACACCTAGTGCTGCATGCCGGTGACAATAATAGACTAGAACGTAGTAGTGCAATTGTATTAGGAAAGGAAAAAGAAATTAGAAAAAAGGAACATGTCGAGTGCGCTTACAGTATGTTTGCGATAGTACAGTGTATATTTATGCGAGAGTTATTATTAGTGCACTCATGTTTTATTTAATGGGACCAACGTGAGTTAGTTAGAATGTACGTACCTGTTGACTGTGGCTATATTAAAATGTACTGTATATCATAGCTCGTTGGATCATTGAGATTATACGTGTATCGTATAGAGAATTAAATAAAGTTAATGTTACTCGTGAATTAATTGAATTGTCGATGAGTGATACGTATATATATATACTATATTATAAAATTCACGACACAACCGCGCTTTGTACATGGCTCTGAATTGTATATGTATATATATATTTTTGTCCTGCGTTGCGTTTTAATAATCTCGAAAAAAAAATCAAAAGCCAAAAATCGCAGTTTTCATTCACTCTTTACACGGACACGGTATGAAAAATACAGGGTTTTCAATTACGGACACAGTCTCGCGAGGGTACCTTTAAATGTTTTTCCATTTTTTCAAAATTTTCATGGCGTTTTGCACTGGGTATCCGATGGTATTCTTGGCGGACCACCATAACGTTTTGTCATCTGAATGATTCTTTCCGCTTCGCGAATTCCGCTCAGTCGGGCCCCGTGAACAGTGCTGTAGTGTCCTGGTATCGTGGCTTCGCCAGCAAACAGCAAGATTGGCGCAATGGGTTCGCAGGTACCTAAAAATGAAAAAATTTTTTAAAAATAAATAAAAATAATGTCGAACGTAAAATGAGTGAATTTCGTATTTTTTAATAAGAGCAACAAATTTACCTGGTAAGGGACTAGCTAGATCGCACTGATGCCCCACTGTACTATCCATGGCCATGTAGCTGTAGGATCCGGCAAAGTGTTGATCCATGCACCATTTGCTACGTAATAGATTGACAGGATAAGGTAAGGTTGGGTCTCCTGTAAATTGTCGCAAGACACGTGTTAACGATTCCACCACTTCCTCGTCCGAGCATAATTCCATGTCGGCTGCTTCGCGTCCACAAACACAGGCGCAGAGTACGTGCTGAGAACTGGCGAGCTCTTCTATGTTCGAGACACCTAAAAATGAAGTATGAACAGTGAATCGAGGTCGTAGGTCGTTGTAGGAATATTCTCTACCTTTGACCCAATCGCATCTGTCCGATAACTCATCGGCGGACCAGGCCAGTCTTATTCCTCCTTCTCGCCAGACCCAGAAGGGTCTGGCGTATTCCAGAAAGATCTTATTCATGTAACCGTAACCCAATTTACAAATGGCGTCGACTTTTTCGGCCGGTAATGCAGGACAGAAGAGCTTATCGTGTTGATGTTTCAGGACACCCAGGGGTACTGTGACTATTACGTAATCAGCTGGGAATTCCTCACCGTCGCAACACTTGACAACAGCACGTGGACAAGAATCGCTGTTTGGATATCAGAGATGCAGTTTCTTCTTAGAATAGTATATTTTCAATTAAATTTAATTTCAAAATCTTTCATATCGCACCTTATGGCACCCCAACGTACACAGCTGACAGGTTTACAGTATCTTAAGGAACAGCTAGGCAAGTCTCTTAAAAGTGGCGCCAGAACACCTACGTATCCCAAAGGGACTCGAACGTTGCCTCCAGGAATTTCTATGTAACTGCCAAACTGATCGGCCGAAACTAACGACAGATCATCGCCGCAGCGACATCTAGTGCAATTGGTCATTCCGTACATGACGCGTGCGGCGTCGTACCTGAATAAAAAAAAATTAGTCGAATTATTAATTGAAATGAAAAAAGTTGCATGTACATCCTTAAGGAAAGGTACCTCTGCTCCTCTGGAAAATTATGCAATTCCTGCTGTATCCTGACGCCCATAAAATTCAAGAGCGAACCGTGAGCTCGTCCGCATCCTAACGAAAACAAAGCTGAGGCTTGCTGCTCTATCTGTCGAAACGCGTGATAGGCCGTGATGCTGACGGGAAGATCAATAGCTCGACCATCGCTGGTGCAAAAAAGACCCCGACTTGGGTCCGGTCTGAAGAGCGGTGGCTTGAGAAGGCCCTCTTGAGCAGCTAATGTGAAAACGGGATTGGCCATGCAACCACCCTCTATCCAGGTTGCACCCATTTCGGCGACTACGTCACCGAGCCAACAGGAATGAATGCGACCTCCTGGTCTAGGAGTATAAATCATGAGAAAATTGTGGAATAATTTTTTGAGAAAATTTTTTAGAAAATTACTAAAAAAGTATACCTGTCCGTTGCTTCCAATATAGTAAAATTTTGTAAACCGCATTGAACCAATCGATGCGCTGCTGATAGGCCTGCCATTCCGGCTCCTATTATCACTACGGTTGGTTCCGGCTTGCATGGGTCCAACATGCAAGGATCCAATTGGCAAGTTTCGAACTTTGCGACCTTCGCGCATGACGGTACGTCCTTGCTGTCTGCTTTTTTTTCCGACCCAAATAATCTGCAAGTTCGATATTTCACCCCGTTATGATTGACTTATGGTTGACGGTGTTATTATATAATTGTTATAGGCGATAAATGGCATTTTTAGCACTCTGGATGCTGCGCTGGTACAGAGATTACGAGGCAGTGACAGAGTCTGACCTCTTGTCAATGTCGCATTGGTTGGGTCGTACCTCAAAATATTTAGAAGCCTCTTACGTACCTTTTGAGTATGCCCTGCAGATTCCTAAGTGGAATCCTTCGGGGCCTCGTGAGGAGCATCTCATTGGATGTTCAACGGCTGAACTAGTGAATTTATCATGAAGGTGGTGCGCCTAATTAAAATCGACTTTAAATAATTAATCTGAAGTTCTTCTTGTTGGTGAACGTTGCTATGAGAACATGTCAAACGACGATGGCAGTCGAATTTTTTTGGACGAAATAACCTTTGCCTACTTAGATTGTATCTGCTTAAATGTATGGACGAACTTCGTTGCCTATACGTTGGTACAAAAATAAATATTCGAATAGTTAAATTACATATATTTTATAAGAAAATACGTGGAATACAGTTTGTTAAGATACGTGAATATATTAAAATTATTAACCCTCTTGTCAATAACCGGGTGGGTACCCTTCTACACTTTCTTCTTGAATATTATTTGACTTCCTGGCAACATGCGTTTTATCCTGGACAGATCCTCGTTATTTGAGTTATTCTGCAGTGATTTCCGGTTTTGTTCATACATTTTTTCAAAAAACTGTTTATGTTATCGGGAGTCAAAGCTGACTACACGCTCATTCGATAACCGGGGTACCCGGGTACCCCGAGCATCCAATAGGCTTCTATAACGAGTTTCTTTTTTGCTCTTACTCTTTGAGTCACCGAATTACTTCACGACTATAATAATAAATAGAATTTGTAAAAATAAACAAAAAATAAATAAATAAACAAATACAAACTCACTAATAATGTTAAAAATGTATTTTATTCAGCACATTCATTACAGCGAGACCCATTGAAACTTCTGTTACTATTTCAAATCTGTAATCCGAAGTTACGAAATTTTCAAACTGATGCGCCAATTTAACCATTCTACGAATGTGGTTCTGCAATCCTTCGATACCGTAGAGTCGTAAGACAAACCATAATTTTATAGCGCGGAATCGACGTCCCAATGGAATTTGCCAGTGCTAATTTAAAAAAATTGCGTCATAAAAATAATGCATGATATAAATTAGAAAGTTCCTTGTATTGATGCTTACTCTGTAATCGCGAGCTTGTCCCTGTTTATCATGTGCCAAGTATATCCTGTCTACATTAAATGCATCGATCAAATATCCTGCATTTTTCACCCTATAGTTAAAAATCATTGTTATTAATTTGATAATCACTTGGACGGTTATAATTTTGTTTTATTTACCAGAGATGAGCAGGGAGATGCACAACGCTACAGTTTTAGGCGATACCAAAATCATGCCCCTAAATCGTAGCAGCAAGTCTGGAAGTAGAATTCTGTGATCATCGCCTCCGTCGACAATAAAAATCCCGTCGTCGTCGAGCTAAACGTGAACACGAACGCGTAGCTTGGCGGGCAGAGGTTCTCCGCTACTCACCGCTGGTTCCCAAACCAACTCTTAGAATGAGACCGGGAAATATAGAACTTCTCAAGAATTATTGAAAAAGTTTATTGTTGAAATATTTTTAAGACATTTTTAAGAAAGTGCCAACTTGACACCCGTGTAGCACCTCAATTTTGACTAAATATTATTGGATCTTGATTTACTTTCAAAATTTATTCAAAATATAAAGTTGAAGCTAAATAAAAATCTCGCAGAATATACGGAGTAGATAAAATTTGAATTGAAATTGTAGAATATCGAAAATAAATTACATTCAAATTGAAATATTAATAAATTAAGTGTTTGTAACATTAAAATAATTAATTAAATCAATAAAGTAAAATATTAACACTCAGAAATCGGAAATTCAGGCCAAGCATATTTAGAAATTACTGGAAGTTGCCCAAAATTGTATGCGCG